GTCAACAGGTAGTTGGACAACAACAGGAGCAATGTCATTGGGTCGGGCACTTCACACAGCATCCACCTTACCAAATGGGCAGGTGTTAATTGCAGGTGGATTTAATGTTAATCCTCTTAATGCCGCTGAATTGTATAATCCATCGACGGGCAATTGGACAACGACAGCAAGTATGTATATTGCACGGCAAAATTTTGCGGCAGTCGTCTTACCAAATGGGAAAGTTTTAGTGGCAGGTGGACATAATGGCACTGCTTGTTCAAACACTGCAGAATTATATCAATAAAAATCACTGAAGAAAATGTTTTGTTTTCACAAAATAATATAAACTGTAAAATTTAATATTGTAAGCAAATTATCGATTTATCTTCGCCCGAAATCATACAGATCTTTTTATCAGAACTGTAGTCTTCATATCAATGAAACATAATATATATTTTATTAATTAATTATTTGTTCAGTATTTAATATCAGTCTGATTGTTACTCAGAGGAACAACTCGTAATTTCGTTACAGAATTCCAAAACTGGATTCTAGAAATTTCACAATTATGCGAACCGCTGATCAGATGAAATATCGAAATTGACGGAGCTATAAATATGTAATGTGCAATACTATCGAATAAATAACACTCGTTCCCTGGATTTCTCGGCCATTTTCTCAAAATAATAAAAAAGTTTAAAAAAATGTGGGAAATAATCTTAGATCCAAAAATATATGCCTCAAGGCAATCTTTAAACGGGCCATTTTCTCCTTCATCTTCTTTTCTTTTCATCGATTTCAAGATATCTTTGTTTGACTTGCTGAAAGACAAAAACAGACAACAAAAATTGATTGAAAGTATAGATGCATCGAGTCGCTTGATCATTCACCCTTTCTTTCACTCTGATCCACTATCGAGGTTGGTCTCAATCTTTTCAAAGCCTGCATCGCTACTGATTGACTACATCGATTCCCTGTAGCCACTGCAACATCCATAAATGTATACCAAGCGTGGAGCGTTCTTGGAGAAAATGTTTTTTTGATCTTTGACCTGTGACAGACACACACAGAAAGGAATTTCCGTTTTTTGACCACTTTTTTCGACATGACCCTCCTTTCAGTCGAGGGAAAACAATATTTGCTTTCTTTCATGTAGTTGTTTATTATATCATCAACTAGTCTTTATTTCATTGAAAAACAAATAAATGAACTTCATATTGGAAAACATTTTCTCTTATATGAAATGAAAAAACAATAGCAAATTGATTACTACATATGAATCTTTTCAGTCGAGGGTAATGCGAATCCGTTTCGACGAGCGTTATTTATTTTTAATATTCGATTAGATTTAAACGTTCTAAATGAAATTTATTCTTTACAAGCTGCTTTTCCTTCAACTGAGCCTATTTAGTGTGTCAATATGTCAGCGTTCTTTTGTGAGAAAGAAGAATACTATGATGCTATTGGTAGTTATCGACTGGGAGAGAGATATGATGTTAATAGTCACGTACATTTTATATATAAATCTGAGGCGTCTGTTAGCATAGTATAAGTTTCTAGAAAGGAAATTCTATCTGACATACAAGAGTTTTCTACAGGATATTACACGACAAAACAATGAAAGGTATCTCTTGTATTCAAAACTACTTTTTAGATTTTGAAAGTTCGATTTTCTCAAAGTCTTGTATTTTGAGAAATCCTAGACGAAAAAGTGTTGCTCTAATACCTTTTCTGATTTCACAGATCGCTATAGAATATTTCAAGTCTATGACAGTAAATACAGAAAAAAAAAGTTTATGTTTGACATTTTCGACATACAATTGAGGAACAATATTATATCTCCGATTTATTTCATTTCTAGGATACTTACTAGTACTCATCGGTATTCATTGGCTATGTTTTCAATTGAAAATTAGTCACGGTCTATTCAATTTATATAGTACAGACGAAACAGGTTTAATGACAAATGTTTTTGATCACGATTGTTTGTATGTCTATGATTATTTTGATATATTCGTCGTTAAAAGTATTTTAATACCATATTGTATACGTTCAGAAATATCAGAAAAATCCAAGAATAATTCTGATCACACATTATGTTATGGAAATGTAATGACATTTAAAGAATTAAAATCAATGAATATAAGTATAGGTGATTTATTCAAATGGAATGCTGTTATTGAAATGATTGATTTATATGAAAAATATCTTTTGTTACCCAATCTCGTTAATGAGAATGAAAGTTATTGTCAATGTTCTTCTTTATCCCAATTTGGAAGATTTTGTCAATACACAATTGCTGATATTAATTTCAATGCTGATAGTGATCAACAAAGTTTTAGCCGTTTGGTACATGGTGTGAGACGACAAAGTCACACAAATGAAAAAATGGAAACGAAATATGTTACGTGTTATGTTGGTATCTCATGTGAAACAAATTTACTTTGTTTAGATTGGAGACAAATATGTAATGGAATTATTGATTGTAATCAAGGAGAAGATGAACCATTTGACCTTTGTTTACAAATGGAATCAAATCAATGCAATACTCAAACAGAATTTCGATGTAAAAATGGTTTATGTATTGAAAATTCATTTACATATGACAGACAAGTAGATTGTCTTGATGGAAGTGATATTATGCCATACGCTAATTGGTATAAAAATCTCTGTTTCCAAAGTATGTCTTTCAATTGTGAAGAAATGAATTATCAATGGAAATCTTTTTCTTGTGGTAATGGTTATTTTATTCCCTATTCAAAATTAACATCAAAATCGACCAGAATGGGTGTAACATGTCATAATAAACGTGATGTGATGTTTTTAAAACAAATCTTTTCATTATATAATGAAAATCTATGTTGGAAATCAATGATATGTTTAATTGGTTTTGATTATTTATATTCAAATTTAACTTGTTTAAATCAAATAAATGTCGAAGAATCATGTCCAGATGAATTTTATTTTCCACCAAATTCGATGATTTATTCATTTGTTTTTTTTCTTTACGAAAAATCTAATCGAACAAATTGGTTCGATTACTCCGGTCCAAATTATATTTGTTATAATGAAACAATTTGTCCGAAGAAGATTTCGAAATTACCAACAATTGTCAAGAATAACCTAACATGTTTTTATGTTGATCAAAGAGTATTTTCATGGGAAAATTTCTATGAGTATATTATTTATTTATTTCGACCATGCTTTTCCAATTATCAATCGTCATTATTTGATGATAATAAAATGTTATATCAATGTGAATTAAGCAATGAATTAATATCAATTAATCGTGTGAAAGATAGAAACAAAGATTGTTATTGGAATGAAGATGAGTATTCTAATATAAATTTATGTTCATTTACTTTAGTTGATCAATTCACATGTTTAACAAATAAGAGTGACTGTGTTCGATGGGAATTTATAGGAGATGAACAATATGATTGTGTAGATGGATCAGATGAATATAAAGTTGATCAAAGTTTGGATTGTCACACAAAAGAATGCATCTTTCATCGCGACAGAAAAATCGAACCTCCTCTACTTTTGAATTTTGATCAACTCTGTGATAATATTGTAAATCGTTTTCTATTCCCTAGTCAAACAAATGAAACAGATGAAACAGATTGTGAATATTGGCCATACACATGTAAGTCAGTTTATACTAGATGTAATCAGGTATGGAATTGTAAAAATGGAGAAGACGAAGTGAATTGTCCAAGTAAGTGTGATGGGAGTGAATCCATACACAGATCATTCGGTTGCGAAATTGATGAACATTATTGTATTCAATTAACCAATAATGATATAAAGAAGACTTGCATACATATAAATAGAAGTGGCGATGGTATTATTGATTGTATTGGTGGAACAGATGAACGTTTAACAAATATTTGTGTAGAAAAATATCCATTTAATCGAAAAAGACGTTTTAATTGTATGAATAGTAGTGTTTGTATAAACCTTGATCAAGTCTGTGATACAATTATTGATTGTCCATTTGAAGACGATGAACGTGTTTGTCCATGGTTATTTCAAAGTAATTCTTCGAAATTTCATTGTGAAAATTCTCCGTCACTTCCTCGTGATCGATGCATTAGGAGATCCGTAGGTGAGTTTAGTTTAGAATGTCGATCTCGAGAACATTTCTGGTTTTGCGATCTTGAAATGGAAAATCAGGTTTGCGAGGATCAGTTAATGACTTTGATACCAGCATATCCTAAAATCACTCGAAAAATGAAATTGATTTCATTTGAAAATCCCGATTTGGACAACGATCTGTGGTTATGTAATCAAGGTTATCCAATTCAATCATTTACATCAAACAAGAAATTCTATTGTCTTTGTTCGCCATCCTATTATGGTGATTATTGTCAATATCAATCTGAACGTTTAACTGTTTACATAGAAGCACATATTGCACATTATTTTAATCCACTAACAGTATTTCGTTTAATTATCTATTTATTAAATGAAAATCATACGATTATATCACATGATGAAATGATTTTTAATAATAAAGCAAAAGAATCGAATAGAAAATTTCGTGTATATTTACTGTATGAACGAATTCAAAATACATCATTATATCAACGATTAAAATCGAAATTTGTTAGAATAGATTCATATAGAATTGAATTAACAAATGTTCAATATATATCAAGTTACTTTTTTTCTGTACCATTTTCATTTCTACCTGTAAATCGATTAGCTGTTACTGTAACTCTTCAAGATCAATTATTAAAAATATCAAATTGTAAAAAACGTTGTAGTTCACATGGAAAATGTATGCAATATGAAAATTTTGAAAAAAGAGAATATTGTTGGTGTCAGCAAGGTTGGTTTGGTGATCAATGTCTTTTAAAATCTTCATTTAATTTATGTAATCAAACATCATGTTCTCCTCATTCACAATGTATGATTTTAAATGATCAAAGAAAACAAATTAAATGTATATGCCCATTGGGAAAATCTGGTAATCAATGTTATATTAAACATAATCCTTGTTTGAACAATCTATGTCAAAATAATGGAACTTGTTTACCATTAGATCAAAGAAGTTTTAGTTATAAGTGTATTTGTGATGATGAGCATTATGGTGACTATTGTCAAACATATGCGCCGATTTGGTATATTTCTATCTCTACTAATATATCTGAATTACCGAAAATACCAATTATCATAGTTATTATCGGTACGACATGGTTACAAGGTGTGCGCCAAAAACGATATTTACATAAAGATGTTCTATTACCGACTAGTTTCAAAGTGTCCGATGGTGTTCTATTCGTATTTATTCAAATGTTTCCTAATTCATCGAAAAGTTTATATTATCTAGTTCGACTACAAAGCCAAGGGCGTCAGATCCTGAATACCTCTGTTATCTCCGCAAGTTTGTGTCCAAATGTTAGTGAATTATTCAATAAAACAATTCTCAATGAATATTCATATTTAAAACGATTGAAATTATATCATTTACCATGTCAACAGAATAAAGATTTATTATGTTTCTTTGATGAATATCGAATGTGTTTATGTACTAAAGATCATAATAGTGATTGTCATCTTTTTTATCATGAATATGGAAATTGTAATCATTGTTCGAATGATGGTTTATGTATAACAGGAGATTCAACAAATAATCCATGGGATTATACATGTTTATGTTTAGAATGTTCGTTTGGTTCTCTTTGTCAATTCTCTATAAAAAATTATTTTATTACAATAGATATATTAATTGGTATAGAAATTAAATCAGGAAATAATTCATTTTCTAATCAACCATTTATTATTCAAATAACTTTGATTATTTTTACTATAATTCTTTGTTTAAGTTTCTTATTCAATACAATAAATTTAATAATATTTTCAAATAAAAAACTTCGACAAGTTGGTTGTGATTTATATTTATTTAATTTAACTATTATTAGTCAAATTGGTTTAATTTTTGTATGTTTAAGATATTTATATACATTATTAATACAAATGTATCTTATAGAAAATGTTCGTTTAATTAAAATTCTTTGTCAATTATTCGAATATTTTTCACGTTTATTTCCATCGGTATTTGATTGGTTAACTGTCTGCATATCAATTGAACGTACCTATACACTTATTAAAGATGTTCATTTTACTAAACGTAGTGCCTTAAAAACTTTAAAAATATCTCGTTGGATTTCTTTTATTGTTTTATTATTCAATGGTCTTCTTACTTTACATCGTCCATTTTATTTTGAATTAGTAGATGAACCAACGATAAATGGCGGGAAACAAGGTCATCCTTGGTGTATTTTAGATTTTAAATCAACATCATGGGATAGTTATGAAAAATTTATTAATATATTTCAATTGATTATACCAATGATTCTTAATTTAGGATCAATTCTTTTCTTTTTATTATATAAAATCAAACATGAATTAACAATACTTAGAAAAAATTATCAACGCAACAGATTATTTATTTTGAAAGAACAAATATTAAAATATAAATTATTAATAATTAGCCCAATAGTGATTAGTATTTTAGAAATACCACGTTTAATTTTAACATTTGTTTTATCGTGTATTCAATATAAATGGCAAAGATATATTTATTTAATCAGCTATATTATATCATTTTTACCATTAACAGCTATTCTATTTATTTATGTAATGCCATCACCAAAATATAGCAAAGAGTTCAAATCAAATTTAAGAAGAAAAATTATTAAATAATCATTTTTAAATGGAAAATAAACTATTGAACAAGATTTTCTCTAATAAATATTCTATTATTTGTCAAATATTTACCTTAACAGACATGCCTCCACTATTTGTGATCGAAGATTAGAGCAGATCAGTCGACAAAACATGGAGAAGAGAGCTCTTTTAGTCTATGTTGATACGTAACGCGTCGTTCCTTTAAATATCGCTCACTTCAATTCTGAAACACAGAAAAAATCTTTTAGAAAACCAACCATGACGCAGATCAGTATATCGTCATAGAGCCGGAGAAAGTCATCATATTAGCGGTATTCTCTAATTTACATAAGGACATGTCATTTTTCCAAAGATAAACATTAATAAAATTATTGAAAGAAAAATCTACTTTCTTCTGTTGTTTTAATGAGAATATGTAAGAGAATAATATTCTTGTACTAGAAATGTTATTCTTTTTTAATACTGACAACTTATCCAAGAAATATTTAACACTGTGTAGTTATCAACGTTCAGATGGCAAGACGCGTCTCTGTTCACCGTTTTTAGACTCTTTAAAATTATCATGTTCAAATTTATCACTTTTAGTACACTTTCTCATTCTACTTTGAATATATGCATTATTAGACGACAAAATATTCCACTTCTCTAATATACAAGTAGCGTTCGTCGTGCCGACTCACTTCACCCTCGACTGTGGAACACAGATATACTGTCTGCGTGTGCTATTAATGAGGCGAATCAATCTAGCAACTTCACGTACGATGAAACGGTAAAACCTTTTCTGTTCGATTATTTATTAACTCTCGCAAATAAAATACCTTATTGTCTTTGTAAAACAAATGTGAGCATATAAAAGGTCTTTATTTATTGTGAATTTATCACCAGTAACGCTGGTCGGGTACTCTCGCTGAACGCTCCGCTGATTTTCTTCCCATTGTACTTTTGTCATTAGAACTAAACAAAAGATGTAACAACCCTCTCATCTCGCAGTCGGTCGTCGGCGTCCCTCCGATCCGCCACTCCCGACTGCTCGATATTGCTCATAGCATGTACACTTTATCAAATGACAGGCGCCTTTCTCCTCCACCATTCACACACAATTTAACTGCCTCAACACAATCAGTATAAACAAATCTCCGAGCTGCAGCTTGTCTTTCCTTTATTGAACGTTATCAGATACTGAAAACCTGCCTTATCGATAGGGCCACATAACAAATGCGTCTAAGACGCTCAATGCATGATTCATCCATCCTAGACATCGAATTTCACAATCTGATATCGCGCGCTAGTTATCGATCCATTTTACGATTTGCGGCAACTATCAATCAGCCTCATCTATCTCCACGCGCTATTCGTCACGTTTCCGTCATTTTTTGCCTTCAATCATGCCACAGGTAGTCACCATTCAAACGACTTTTTCTCAAGAGACCATGTGGCGAGTCTTCGTCCATGTTCCCAATACAGTATTCGCTTAGCCAAATTGCCGAGCTAGTAAATTCTTAGTTGAAGCCTCAAGTCATATCTCGACGCTATAAATGTGCTCTTCCGTCGACCATAGGTTCGATCGGAAAAGACTACTCATCAAATGGCAAATATTTCGAGAAAAATGATTTTTTATCTTTCACTCTTGGCCCTTGACCCTCGCCCACATCCGTGACCATGAGAGGTCACACCGTGCCATCCGGCACACACTATTGGCCACTTCAATCGAACAACATCGCAACCATACACAACATATCGAATGCACCACGAAGCATACACAAGAGTCAAAAATATAGAACGTCAAACAGCAATCGTAATGTGCCCTAAGTCAATCCCACTTTACAGGCATCCTCATCCTCATCTACATACTTCTGCCCATCAACTTCACTACCACGAGACCAATCGCCATTCCATCCAGAAATAGGCAACTGCGCGAAAAAGCATCTCTAACTCCCATTCATGAGTCCAACTGGAACAAACACTCAACTACAAAAGAATACTTTTACCATTAATACAAATTTACTACGAACACCAACAACAATCATCACTTACTCGTAGCACTTTTATTTATTTGTCTTTGTCGAATTCGCATATATTGAATAGGTTTAACTCAATGAATTAGCGTTACAATTGTCACGTCTGACTCTAGCCAATGTATCTTTTGATATCACTACTTCTCGCCTTCAGTGCATTTAGCTACGGTAACATATACAATTATTTATTCGTCGTTCTTTTACTACTCCTAAGATCAGTTGCAGTTGCACAAAAGTTGGAACATCTATCCATTTCAACTGTCTTCTGACACCACCCCTAGCCATTCCAAACCCCTATCAGCTTCACATGGCATTATGAACAGCTCGACAACAACTCAACACCTGACCTACATAAAATCCTCCACTAAGCACACAGATCCCCGATCATTGATTCCAGCTACCTATCTCCAGGCACCGGACCCAAAAAAAACCAATGAACCGTCACCCACACTCAGACATCAACCCCCTGTTTCACGACAGGCCCCCACCCACCTTCATACGTCAACACATAGTTTCACCCTAGACCCCCACCCCACGTTCTTACATCAATCCCCAGTTTCACCCTAAACCCCCACCCACGTTCATACGTCAACCCATACTTTCACCCGAGACCCCCACCCACGTTCATACATCAGTCCATAGTTTCACCGAAGATCCCCACCCTCAGTCCCCCGCCTTCACCCTTCATCCGCGCTTGTTCTACGACCAGCACACTAGAAGTTTTCAATGTGTTGAATGATTTAGGAAAAAATATTTTTTTGACCTTTGACCTTTGACCCTGACACAAACAAACAGACAGACAGGCAAAAAACTATTTTATTTCATATGACCTTCTCTACAGTCGAGGGAACAAAGGATTCCATGTGTTTTGGCGTGTTCCGGGAAACTGGCTTGTGATACTTGCACAGGATAGAGAAGACGGGGAACGATGGTAATGAGCATAATGGGAACTTAGGAAAGTTCCGATTATGCAGTTTATGCCCTATACCTCCGTTACAAATATGTAGATGATATTATCACTCTCTGCTTTCCACATACCTTCGTCCTCAACACCTTTCCAGGTGTCCTCAGTCAAATGAACTTTCTTCACAAACAGTATCGACTACGAAAATTGTACTTAATGTTGGTAATGAAAATGATTTTCAAAATGGAAATTGTGGACTTTCTCGGAATTTTTTATAAGTAGAGTGGGCATCAATTACCGGGAATTATTTCCAGTTAAAAGATGTATTCGATTTCCGCAAAGTCGCTATAACGCATTATCTGCTACAAAGATGCTGGGTGATTCCATGGGTAGGGATCATCGGGACCACGATTTTTTAGTCCCGGTCCCGGTCCCGATGATCTCTATCCATGGAACTTGTGACATGTTTACACCGACCCTCGCCAAATCGCTTGAAACTTTCGGGACTCATATAATAATCAATTCGAAGACTTTTTTCCTCTTGGACGAAAGTTCTAGGACGTTTTATTCAAGAGCTGTAGCCCAAATACTAAGTACCCTTCGGAACGGATTTTTAAAGTACCTTTTCCTTTCCAGCATGCCTAGTTTTCCACCACTTTGTGCTATAGAAATTGTGGCGACATATTTGGATTTCTCATGATCAGGGCTATCAGAATCACTCATTTTCATAAGTTTTTGGATTCGTCTCAGAACCACGGGGCTCTGGGCACCCTTTTCAACCACCGAGTATTC